CTCTTCCAGAGATATGTGTCTCTCAATTGGATGGTGATTATAACTTAATAATTTTTCTCTTGTTGAGTACATTTGCCGTGACTCTGTATTTTCCCTTCTGATTCCTTAGGTTGCTGACTTTGCAGCTAAAATTACAATAAAAGTGTTCCCAGACCAATCTAAAATTAATGTAGGCTAACTTTGTATGTTATGTAGTAATTTTCATTTTAGCTGGATATAATTACAGTTGTGTTAGAGGGGAGGAAACGCATGGCTCCTATTTTTAGGAGTTTAGCATAACCTCTACTTTGACCTTCAGAATCCACAAGGGGCGGACAGCAACAAAATGTTGCAGTGTATTCCTGATGCATGCATGTATAAAATAAAGGATAACACCAAGAACAACATGCCTGCTCTATCGTGGGTGCTACTTCATATGCAAAAGATACTGATCACTCTGTACATGCAAGTCAATGGAATATGACACATACACATAAGGAAATGGGAGAGAAATGGAGCAAAGACAGTGGAGGAAGAGCCACAGATATAATGACCTTCCACCATCATCACCACTTATGATCCTTGACTTGTCTCTCAGCTAGCTTCTGTGGGACATTCTTACAGTCAAACCAACAATTCATGTTTTGCCAAATAGGCAGATGAAGGGGCTGAGGCTCACAGAGCTTACCAGAAAAATTTGCTAGAGAGAACTCTGTGAGATCACTTTGTCTGCCTTAGGAGGAAGCTGTAACACTACATACTTCCTGCCTGCCTGAACATCTCTCCTTTTCTCCATCATGCCTCCAAGCTGACCACATGTGCTTGTTTGAGCTCTGCAGCTCAGACACCATTTTGAACTTATATGTTATACTTTTGTAACTTTAGGTAGTAGTTATGAACCTGCCTTCATTTTGCTACTGTAACTGCTGCTTCAAGACCATCCTAGATTATGTAAGTAAATGCTACTTTTACTTCTTCACAAAACAAAGTGTGTGTGGTTGTTATAGTTAAGGAGGAGAAAAGGGGTAATACTGGAGAAAACCCAGTCTCCCTTAAAGCACCCTGGATCATTGTTTCTAGAAGGAAAAAAACTTCCAAGTTTAAAGCTGTAGGGGATGGTACTCTGCTGATCCCACTCCTGTGAGCAAGGAAGTATAATAACTAAATAATATATCCTCTCCTAGTGCCTACAGCCTCTAGAATATTGTCAGGATTCCACAGTGTAATTGTTGAAGCTCAGATATTGTCAGATGTAGCTGCAGCACATATATTTATTTTAAAAACCCACAAAAAACCAGGGCCTAACTACTGCATATTTAATTATGTTAAATACCATGCCTCTCCAAAAGGAAGCAATGATAGCTTCAGCAAGCAAGGAAGCCATTTCTTTCCAGCTGGCTTTCCTCAACCAGAATGGGCAAGGTTCCATGGCACAACTGGCCACTCACTTCCTGCCAAATGTGATCTCTGCATTAGCTGATGGCTTAATGATCTATCCTCACTACATCACAGGCTAGCAAAATCTTTTTATAGCATCCCTATGGAGGGAGAGGACCAGTGCAGCTGAAACAGAGGGTTGTCAATCTCTTTCCATCTTATTGGCCTTAAATACAAGGAATTGGGGATGGCACCTCACTATGTGAATGCAACCATGGCTAAACAGCTTTCCTGAATTGGAAATTTCTGTCAATTCTTAATGAGAAACAAAATTTTTAAAAGTTTTTGCCACTCCATTGATAGTCATTCTTCAGTTATCTCGACTCTTCTTTTGCACAAGGCTTCTGTGACATTCTTGGTTACAGAATGTAGAAAACAACCACACAGATCATGGTACTTAAATGAAAAATCAGATTATAATGTTTATTTATAATAGCAACACATTGACTACTGATCCTGAACAGAAATCCTCAAAATTACGAGCTCTCCAAGGTTCCTAAGTTGAATTTAAAGAATAGAATATGAACTGAAACTGTATCAAACCTTTATTTGTTCCCAAACTGGAAAATAACACAACACACTATTTTTAAAAAAACTTATATTCAAATGTGAGTGCATTTATACCCAGCTTTTCAGCCCTAGAAAAGGGCACCAAAGTGGCTTACAAAAAAAATACAATTACACAGTTGAAATACAAGAATTAAGCAAAAAAAATACTGTTGAGAGTGAGCAAAACAAAACCACTAAAATTACATCCAACCAACAGGAGGACAAAAGTAATTTTTTTTATTTTAAAGTTTTTCTTGAATGCAACTTTTTGAAAAAGTCGAATTGCTAGCCCAGAATAAGGTTCAGTAAAAGAGAGAGAGAGAGAGCGCACAATTTTAGTGGTCTGTTCAATCACAAAGCAGAATGAATCATAAACATACAAAAAGGAAATCTGGGGAGATTTTTGATTAGGCTGTCTGCTAAGTGACTGATTAAATTTAAATAAATATACAAAGCCTCCAAGCCCTTTTGATGATGTCTTGAATGAAGTGTGAGAATTTAGGGGGGGAAAGCTACCACATTGTTAGAATAAAAGGTAATTTCAATTCCCTATTCCAGAGTAACACCTGCACCAGAAAAATAATAAATAAGTGTGCTTTCATGCTTTAGCATGATTAAAAAATATTTCTTAAAAAGTGAGCAGTTACAGAGAGGCTGTATTTATGCTGCAGAATCCCAGACAATATAGAATGAAACCATCAAATGTTAAAGTTCTGACAGAGATAATAGATCCAGAAAAGCAACAAAGAAATCTTGAAGAGAGGATCGTGTATGCATGAGCTAGATAATGATTTTGCTTTTTTAATTTTGTGTGTTTTCACAGCACATTTCATGTTTTAATATCGAGTAATAATCTGGAATCAACAAAACATTTCTCGATGTTCCCTGTTCATTTTACTCCTCACTTCCTATGTACCAACATCTTGTATAAGTTGTAGGTTTTCCTGACTGGTGTGTTTAATAATGTGATAATAAGATAGTAATGAAGTATCATCATATTCCAAATCAAAATTTTATTTGCTCATTAGCCAATCAGGCCATTCACATACACAGACAATAAACTTAACAAAATAAATGCATACAAAATACATTAAATCTTACAAAACTATAATTAAAATTTATACCACTACAATAACTCTTTGACTTATATTAACATGTATTATTATATGAAATGGTAAGTAAATTGGGTATCATAGTATTAATCACTGAATCCATATTACCTGTAGGTACGGTGAGACTGTGTCTCTCACCCAGCCTCCAGTCAGCTGAGTCACAACAAGCATGCCAGGATGGAGAGGAAGAGAGGTATGGTGTTGAGGCTAACACAATGCAAGACACAATGCAAAACACAATGACTGAGACGATCTGGCACTCCTGCCAGTGTGTTTGCACCACACTGACCTCACCACCATGCCCCTCTCCAACTCCATTCTGCTGTGCTGCTGCAGCTCATGTGGATGGAAGTCAGGTGAGGGGTGCAGCCATATGCTGCTGTGGTGGACAGTGAGGTGACTAGGGAATTAATTTTCCTATTCTGGCATCTGAAATATGAAATATTCACCCCATGGAGGTTCACCTGTAGTGTTCATGGATTTGTTTTGGCACTAAGTGAAGACCTTCTTATTCTCTCGGGCCTTTTAAATGTATGATTTATCTACTGTATCTTATTTGTTCTGTCCTCTTATGCTGATGATACTTTTAATCAAGATGTTTATGTTATGATTATTTTAAAATTTTATTGTAAGCGGCCTCATATTATTTTTTAAAGGACAAGGCATAGTTCAGAGGTGAGCAACCTGCAGCCCTAGCTTTAATAATTTTGAGTAGGTATGGGGGGAGCCCAGTAGAAAGGAGGGTATGGGACAAAAAGCAGAAAGCTGAACTTGATGCTTTGATGGAATGAGGAGGGTGTGGGGGAACCTCCTGCAAGAAATCAGTTTAGTTCAGAGCAAGAAGAATCTGTCCCTCCCCTGGCAGCTGATTGGGTGGGGAGAGGGAGAGAGGGAGAGAGGAGAGGAGGTGGCAGAAAGAGAAAGGAGTGATTCTCTCCACTTTGGGCTATGGTCCCACCCACTGCTGGTATGCAGACCCTGATGAATTACCTCTTAGGGACAGTGGCCACCATGGTGGAAATGTTTTAAATAAATGACCTGGGGTCAAATCCTGACTTCAGTCACGACCTTACCAAATGATCCCAGGGAAGTCTTGTAAGATTTTAGTATGTGATGTTGTATTGTGTTTTTACTGAGGCAACCCAATCTGATGGGTGGCATCATCATCATCATGACAGCCTATGTGGTCATTTGGAATGTGGGTGGGGCTGTGGTCTAAATCACTGAGCCTTGCCAGTTGGAAGGTCAGCAGTTCGCTTGGTCCCAGTTCCTGCCAACCTAGCAGTTTGAAAGTACGTCAAAGTGCAAGTAGATAAATAGGTACCGCTCCGGCGGGAAGGTAAATGGAGTTTCCGTGTGCTGCTCTGGTTTTACCAGAAGCGCCTTAGTCATGCTGGCCACATGACCCGGAAAAACTATCTGCCTCGGTCAGTAAAGCGAGATGAGCGCCACAACCCGAGTTGTTTGCGACTGGACCTAACTGTCAGGGGTCCTTTACTTTTACCTTTTATGTGGTCATCATCTGAACACTAAGCAAACATGTTGTTCTTCTCACACTCCAAAGCATATTGAGCTCTAGGACTTTCCACATCCTCATTGAGTAGCTTTGCCTCACATTTTCTCCCCAACAAAAATAATTTTCATCTTAGACATGAAGCGTCCCAAACAGATACTGAAGAGTCACACTGATACCAGAAGAATTTACTTGTGAGAAAAATGTCCATAGTTTTTGGTTGCATGTGGAAGCTCCTTCCTAGTGCAAGAATTGCAGCTCTAAACAGCCTTATGGGAAAGGCAGAAACTGAACTCTCTCCGGAGTTCCCTCCCCGCACTTATTAGGTGAGCAACATCCTTGTACCAGAAGGGACATCCTAATGGAGACCCCCCTACAACACACATCCGATGGCATCCCCCCCCCCACGGTCAACAGCAAGTGTGCATTGGCTCTTGGAGACGGATAACTGAGCACGGGTCCATTTGAAGGCAGGACTGGTCCACGTGCTTTGTTTTGCAAAGGTACCCGCTAGCGGCAACAGCAAAGGATGCCTTGGCTGTACAGTACGGCGGCGGCGGCGGCAGCCCTCCATGCTTGCGGGCCACAGAGGGGTCCACGGGGGCCAGATTCCAGTCAGATGCATCGTCTTGTCCCCCTCTCTCAGTCATCAACGACAACAAAAGTGGCAAGAAGGAGGAGGTGGACGGCGGAGCGGCGGAGCTGAGAGCTTGCAGGTTGCTAAGGGGGCGGCTGCGGCTGCGGGAGGAGCCCTGCAAGTTAACAAGAATCCACTCGGGACTCTTGGCTCACCGGACTCCGAGTGGGGGGAGCTGCCCCCCTACACACGCGCACACACACCCTGCCAGTCTCCTGCAGCTGGCCCTCTCGCTCATTTGTTGCTCCAATAAGCAATAATTAGGTCCTAAGCTAATGACGTGTCAGCTGATCTGATGGGAGGGAGGTGGAAGGGGGGGGGACTTAGGGGAGAGAGAGAGAGAGAGAGGGAGGCTAAGCTAGGCTAGACCAGGAGAAATCTCCATGGAAACGCTCCCCTCGCACGCCCCTCCCCCTTCCCCCCACCTGGCTGAGGCGGGGAGGGTGGTGGAGCGGCCTCCTCCTTCCGCCGGCTCCCCTGCGCCACCTTGCCGCCCGCCGCTCGGGCCAGCCCCGCCCGCCTGCGCGGCGCTCTCCAACCTGCCGCCGCCCGCCCGCAGCATGCGCGAGCCCGGCATCCCTAAATGGGACAATTCTGTCCGTCACGTCGCCGCTCCGCCGTCTCCACAGAAACTTTTGTCCCGCTGGCCAATCAGCGGAGGGCGGCCAAGGAGCGGGGAGGGGAGGCGGGGAGCCGACGCGGGAGAGAAGGGCTTTGGCGAGGAGCTTTTGCTCGCGCTCGGCTCGCGCTGCCGGCTGTCAGTCCCGGTTCCTGCGCCGCGAGACCTTCTAGTAGAGCCGCTGAGCAGAGAGAGCGGCTGGCAGAGAGGGAGGCGGGGGAGGGAGAGAGAGAGAGAGAGAGAGAGAGAGAGAGAGAGAGACTGAGGGAGCGAGCGGGGTGGGGGGAGGAGGGGGGAAGAGGAGGCGGAGGCGGGAGAGGCAGGCGGGCACTGTCCATTTCGCAAGTGCCTGCCTGGGACAAGGCTGAGGCGCGGCGCGCGCGCAAGGTGCCAGGCGGCCCATTCATTTACCTCACGGCGCCTTTCGGATGGAGGGAGAGCCGTGGAGAGGGGAGGGAGAGCCGTGCGGTGCCTTCCCCTCACCCCCCACGGCAACGAGCCATAGGAGGGTCTGAGAGAGGGAGCTGGGATTGGCGTGTGAGGTGACCAGAGAGAGAGAGAGAGAGAGGAGCCAGGACTGGACGGGTCCGGGAGCCATGAGAGAGAAGACGCGCGCAGAGAGACAGAGTGGGAGTGTGTCTGGGCTCGCGCGGCGGAGAGGAGGAGGAGGCGGAGGCGGAGGAGGGGAACTCCCTTTCCCGGGCGGCGAATAGGTGTCGGATGGAGCAGCTGCCGCCTGCCTTCGCCAGCTCGGAGGGTCGTCGTCGCGAGGCGCTGGCAACTGGGCTCCCGAGGAGGAGAGGGGGCTCGGCGGCGCGGCCCACAGGCGGCGAGGGTTTCAAGGGGTAACGGAAACTGGGGCCAAGGCAGGGACAATAATCGAGGCTGCTCCGAGCAGGGAGGGAAGCAGGCGGCGGCGGCGGCGAGGAAACGGGCGGCGCTGGTTCTCCATCAAGCATCCGGACGCCAAACTTCCTCGAACGCCTCGCAGCCGGGGGAGACCACCAGATACCTTCGGCTGGACGAGTCGCTAAATGGGCGGAAAACCGTTTTTACATGCGCAGCCCCACCGACGGCCGCCATCCGCCGGCCAACATCCTCCCAGAACTCAGCTCGCCCTCCTTTGGTCCCAAGCCTAATTTTTGTACCTTCAGAAGGGTCGAGGTTATTATCATCATTATTCCTTTACTCGGTTTAGTGGGATTTCCCCACCCCCCAAAAAATAGCTAAATAAAGCCTGCGAGGATGATCTGTCAAGATTTCTCTCGGTGATGCACCCTGGATTTGTTAGGCAGGAAAGAACTTTCTATCCCACCAACAGCTTCCCACCCAAAGCATGGAGCCCTAAGATGGAATAAAGGAGACGAGAAGAGAGACCCGTTTGCCCTTCAGCGTTTTCCTCCATCCTGCGTGGAGAGGCTGCTTGTGGGAGAAGCAGGGTCCTCCCGGACAGACACAGGAAGGCAGCCCAGGGTTGGCTGGCTGGGGTGGAGGGTGGGCTTTTCTCTCTGCCCCCCCTCCCTCCAACCTGCACCATCCAGGCTGAAGCGGATGCCCGGGAGAGAAGAATCCGACTCCATGATCTGTCCTTTCGCTCTCCCTTTCCTTTTTTCTTCGCGGAGCTAGGGTCCATGTCTCCGGGGCCATAAAGGCGCAACCCTCGGGGGTGGGGGGAGAGGCGCTGCTGGAGACGCCGGGATAGTCCTGTCGGCCACAAGATTAAAGGGACGGATCACGTACTGGGGAAGCAAGAGGAAGCAAGACCTGGTCGCCTGGTGGATGTGGGGAGGAGGGGTGGCGGTTGGGATGATCAAGTTGAAAAATGATCAGGACTGCTGAGCCACTCCGGAATTGATCGCCCAGCCCCTCATCCACCCCGATCGCTCCTCCAGCAAAGAAAGGGGGGAGGAGACCCCCCCCAGCAGACACACACGCACGCACCCCAACCACCCCCACCCCTCAGCCCTCTCTAGGGTGTGATTGTCGCGGGACCTCCTCCTCCTGGTTGCATCTTCCTCCTCCATGAGCCCGGGGTGAACAGGTGCCCCGGTCCGCTTTGGGGGTGTGTGTCTCGTCCGGGGACGATGGAGAGCGGCGACCGGGACATGTACCGCCAGTTCCAGGACTGGTGCCTCCGGACTTACGGGGACTCGGGCAAAACCAAGACGGTGACCCGCAAGAAATACGAGCGGATTGTCCAGCTGCTGAACGGCTCCGAGAGCAGCTCCACGGATAACGCCAAATTCAAATTCTGGGTCAAATCCAAAGGCTTCCAGCTCGGCCATCCGGACGAGGTCAGCGGGGCTGGCGCTGGTGGCGGCGGCGGCGGAGGGAAGCAAGTGCTCTACGTGCCGGTCAAGACCACGGTGAGTCGAGAAATTGCCTGCCTTGTTTGGGAGCCGCACCGGGGAGGGAGAGTGGCGAGCAGCAGCAGCTGCTGCCGCCCCATCGCGGCCACCCGTGGGCTCCGGCTGCTCGCCTCCCTCCGCCCCCTCCTCCTCCCCCCGCCCCCCAATCTCCAGCCAGCGCTGCCTTTGCCTGGCACCTTCTGCACGGCTCTGGGCTTTGTGCGCCTCCCTTCCCTTCTTTCCCTGCGCGGCCAGCGCACCAAGCACACCCTGAGCGCGATCGCCCTCCTGCCTTTCCCTTGCCATGATCCCCTTTCTGTCGTCGTTGGGGGGCAGCCTCTTCCCTTCGCCTCCCGGGGCTGAGAGGGGGCGTCGTGGGGGGGGGGCTGCTGGGGGGGGGAGGCAGGTCCTACGCCTCCGCGCTCCCCATCTGAGACGAGTTCCGAGCGAGAAAGCACCGCGGGTCCTTCTTGGCACAAAGCGGGGCATCTTGTGTTTTTCCCCTTCATTGTTAGCCCATATCCCTCTGAGCATCGGGGAGCTGTGCTCGGCTCACTGCAGAAAGCAGAGGGCAGGGGGGAATCAACAAAAGAGCTGTAGGCTTTTGCACATGACCAAATGGGGGAATTGGTTGGTCTCTTCCCCCCCCCCCGCCCTCCCCGCTTGTTCAAGTCTCACTTGATGCGAGCCCAGAAGTATTGTGAGCCTTCCAGAGGTTGGAGGCTGAAAAGCTAGCTGCAGATCTCACAGCAGAAGTGCTATTATGCTGGGTTGTGGTGGTAGTGGTGGCGGCAGGAGCAACAGAATTTCCTGGTTCAGAAGATGGGAACTGTTGGTTACAAGTAGGTTTGCATTCTCCTCTCCTTCCTTTAGTTTTTCTTGATTTCCAAGCTTTGCCTTTTACTCTGGTTTGTGGAAGTGTGTGCAATAGCAAAAACCTTACCTTTGGCATTCGGAGTTGATGAAACACATTTTTGTTGTTGGACGAAGAAAAAGTGTCCTGGCTCTCTTTTTTATTTTTTGACACTGTGAAAGATTTTGTAGAATGTATTTAAGATGTGGCTGTAGAATGCTAGGATTCCATGTGCTTTTTTAATCACCAGCAGCAAAATCAAGATACAGTATTTGTATGCCAGTGGCCATGGTTAATGAAATAAGTATGAAATAATACTAAAAGTAATGGGAAATAATTTATACAGTGTTTATTATTTTATGGTTTCAGGATTTCAGCTACCTATTGGGATTACTTTGTAAAAGTTTTGTACCTTTGGGACACTCCACCGAGCACTCCTGCATAAATCTATTTATTTCAAAAGTGGATTTTATCCACTATAAACCTGTATCCAAACTATTTATTATGGTTCAAGTACCTAATTCCATAAAAATAAAGTATAACCAAATTTCAAGAAAAGCTCAACTAATATACTTTCGTATCTATGCTGATTAATTCAATTAATGCTGATTAACTGGAATAGCCTTGCGGGAAGCATCGTTTATGTCTCATAGCATCTTTCTTGGAAAGCTACAGGTAAACTCATGTTTGAAGGAAGATGGAATTTATGGATAGCCTTAGAAAAATTAGTTTCCCTGTAAAGATAAAGCACTATTCTGGGACTTTATGGCTGTATTCCTATGCACACTTATCTGGGAGTAAGTACCACTGAATTCAACAGTTTACTTCTGAGTAGGCATATATAGGATTGCATTGTATAAATGACATAAATCTGCATTAACTAAGTCCATATTTGTGCTGTTTCTAAAGGGTTTTGCATATCCCCACTCTTTTTGCTCATGCTTCTGTCACAATTTGATGCCCATAATTTATCTTGATATACTCACCTACTAAACATAGTTTCACCTAAGCATTTGTCAGCTTGACTCAGAAAATCACAGAACAATCTTATACTCAATTCTTTACTCAAGAGTTCAGTGAAACTTTCTCCCAGGTAAGTGTGTGTAGGTTTGCAGCAACAATGTTTGAAATGATCACCTCTACAACAGTGCAGTAATGGGAAAACAAAACTATAAAAAGGCCCATCAAATTTCTATATTACATTAAATGGCCCAAATCCAATGCAGGTTGGTATATGCCCATGCATGTCTGTGCACTGGACTGTGCCCAGTACACACTACTCTGTACTATCAGTGGCACAATGGGACAGTGTGTCTGGCTGTTAACCAGAAGGTTGGTGGTTTGAACCCACCCAAGGACAGCTGTGGGCAAGATTCCTGCATTGCGGGGGGTTGGGCTAGATGACCCTCAGAGTCCCTTCCAACTCCACGATTCTATGATTCAAATCTAACAGCATTCTTTGCATTGGTAAAATATTCAATCTTGAGTGCATGCAAATATTTAGTTTCCTAAATCCGCTCCATAACAGAAATTTCAAACAGCATGCACAGATGTTACTGAATCATGATCACCTCAAACTTCATATCCCCATTCACAAGGATGCATCAATTGTTTAAGGACAACTTTAGATTTTTTCTAATGTGCACTCAGTGCTCAAAGTGGAAGTGAAATGAAGTGGAATGGTTTCATTTCAAATTATGCCAGACTCAATAACAGCCATTGGAAGAAATGAGGTGGTTTGGAGGCAGCCTAAAAAGACGTGGGATAGCATCTTACTCCATTTGAAACACTGGGCATGCTGGATGCATATCAATGGTTGACTTTGGAAGTGTTTTCAGTTTCACTTTGCTATTAACATTTATGTGAAGTCATTCACGTTTACTCACTGGCACCATGGACAGAAGCTTCACTCTCTTTCGTAGCATCTCATTCATCCCAATATATCCAGTGGCCATAGAAGAGTTTAATCACATACTATCACTCCTTGTTAACTCTTCTGTCTGATTGCTGCATACACTTGACAATGTTGTCACATATATATCTGCTGCTACAGTGCACAGAGACAGTAACTTCCATACTATGGAATCAAAAAACTTTTCCCACTACCAGAAAAGTCATTGTAGTGTACAGTATTTCATTTAAAAAAACAAACACTATTGATAATTCTGGTCAGTACAGAATTAACAGATGCACAAAATAACATTCTTAACATCAAAGCAATTGGCTTGATGAAAAATTAATATGCAAACCACCTTCATTGTCCAGAATTATTCTCTCCTTGAAGCTTTAAGGTTTGTTGCTCAGCTTTGCTGTCAGGCAGAGAGATTTGCTCCTGAAGGTTCTGTAATCCACTGCTGCTGGTAATTAGACATCATTACTGCTGCATTAAAGGGAAAGAGAGAAGGGGAGAGGACAGGCTGGGGCTAATTAACTACTTGATTTTAATGAAAGAAAGAGAGACTGATAGCAGGTGGGAGTTTGCACCGGAACAGACCAGACAAGCAACACAGACTTCATTGAAGCAAGAATAACTTGCAGGCTTACAGTAGCAATGCCCTTATCTGTTTATTAAATGGCATGGACAGTGAATGAAATACAAAGGCCTGAACATATATTATATCTAGTTTGCTGTTGCATGTTGGTGAACACTTCAGGCTCCCAGGGCCTCATTCAGTTTAAACAGCATGCAGAGAAAGGGAATATTTAGCTTGTTGAATGCTGATTTAATTTATTTCAGTATCTCAGTCTTCTGGAGAGCAAAAGGAGCAAATCAGTCTCCCTGTTTTCACATCCCTCTGTGGTGTAGGAGATGCACTCTTGGTCACCAGGCAACAACATCCTGCAATACGGCCATTTTAGGTCTACAGTGGGACAACACACAGTGGAGTATTTATATGTGCAGCTCAATGAATAATATACTGTACCTCTGCTAACTCTTCCCACTGTTGTTCTTTTGTCATCTGCTGTCTTTCATTAAGGCCAAACTGCAGTTTATGAGAACAGTGAAATGATGCCTAATCAAGAGGCTTTACTTGAAAGCATAAGACAGAGAAATATGCCAAATGGCTGACAATAATTAGTTTAAAGTTTTTATACTTGATACCCACAGTCACTTAGCAACACATAACACTATCCTTAGTGTGACTCTTGACTGAAATTCTACAGATAATTTTATGAACCGCTTCTATGAGATTTCTGACTAAATTAGTATTTATGTTTGAAAATAAAATTGGAAAGAATGAAAAACATCAGTGATGTTATGTGGTAATGGTACAAATTATAGTATCCGGCTTGAAATCAAATGTTCTCATGTGTACAGAATGATGTGCCAAGGATGTGAATTCAGGTCTATGGTCTAGAGCAGGCATGGCCAAACTTGGCCCTCCAGCTGTTTTGGGACTACAACTCCCATCACCCCTAGCTAACAGGACCAGTGGTCAGGGATGATGGGAATTGTAGTCCCAAAACAGCTGGAGGGCCAAGTTTGGCCATGCCTGCTAGAGTTCAAACATTTGTGAATTAGTTAGGGGTGGGGCCACAAATCAGCAGTTCAGGATAAGCAATGAGGGCCAGGTGAAATACTATATGAAAGCAGACAGTCCTCTTGATCCCTATTTGAGAGAAATATGTGTATCCTGCTATCTTTTGTGTAAGTAACTATGTGGATGTTATGCCACTAGTTCAGAAGTGTGTGCTGGTGAAGGTCTAATTAATGGATTCCACAGACCAATATTTTGGTTACCCTAGCATAAAAGTTGTTGGGGTTTAAATTACACTTTAAAAGGAAATTAAGTTGCATATGATTCAGTGGTACATTCCTGACTTGCTGCATCAGTTTGTAACTGCTTAGGATGTGGGATGTAACTGCTTAGGATGTGGTGATATTATGATGCTATTGCAGACACACCATCTGCACAAATGCATAGAACTGGACTGCTAGCCATGCTCCTTTAAAAAAATGTATCTTTATTATAAACTCTCCCCTTTAACTTGCAGTGATAACTGTGAAGAGCAGAGAAGTTTGTGAAATACTTATTAAGAAAACTATTAACATACAGGACTTTAACATGCCACAAGTGTCAGCACAACAATACAATTGTGGGAATGTTATTGAAGGTTTGTAAATATGCATCTTGGGGTTCCTATTATTTTTCAACAATAGATCAGTAGTAGAATAGAGGCAGAGTTCCAGGTCAATTTCTGGCATATCCTGTCAGGGATGGGAAAGACTCTAGTTTGAATCTCTAGAAAGCTGCTATCAGTGTACAAGGCAACCTAATAATTACCACTCTCTGTTTCTGAGTTCTTAGTCTCTAATGTGTGTTAGAATAATCAATCCTCATGATAGGAGTAAAATGTGTCTATGTGCCACTTGTTAACTAAAAAAGTTAAAGCATTAGGATATAGCTACTCTGTGTTCTGCACACTCTCTATATAAAAGTTATACTTTTATCTTAAAATTCCATGGAATAATATTTTCACTTTGGCTATGCTTTATACCTCATCTTTATGTCAAACTTGTTCAGTTATGTAAAACTCTTCTAAAGATTGACATGGCTTATTAACCGTTAATTTTTAATGTAGATTTTCACAAATAAGAAAAATCCTTCATTACATGGCTAAACTAGAGCCACAAAACTATCTCTGGCAGTACTTTTTAAAAAAGGTAATTGCAATATTTTAGGATGTAGCTTTCCAAAGAATGTTAGAAAACAAGGATAGACTTTTGTAAATACATGTATATACTAAATTCCTCCTCGAAGGTTCAAAATTAGCAGTGAAAGTGAAAGTGGGTAGGAATGGTCAAAGTACAAACCAATATGAGGATGTGGAAATACAATCAATATTTGCCACTGAACTTAGAGCTTAAGGGGGTTCTGGACAGAAAACACAATACATTTACCTCATGAAGAATATGTATGTTGCATTTAGCAATTAAATGACTGGCATGCAGAACAGAAGTGTGCATGTGTGTGTATATGTTTTTTGTTTTTATCTACATGCATTTTTACATGTGTTTTTATTTACATGTGTATTTATTTACACCCCCACACCCCCAAACACATTGGGGGTGGTATTTATTCAGCTAAGTTTTACTCCAAGCAGGCCTATTGAAATTAATGAACATGACTAAATTATCCCTATTAATTTAAATGGGAGTACTCTGAGCAAAACTTAGTTGAGTACCACCTAGTATGTCACTGAATACTATCTGCACTTGAATCCAGGCTTCCCATAAGCATCTAGTTGGCCATTGTGAGAACAGGATGGACTAGATGGGCCTTTACCCTGATCCGGCAGCCAGACTCTTCCTATGTTCTTAATAAGAAGCACTTTACTAGAGTATATATTTCAATCTGCAAATCACCATCAAAGCAAAGCTTCTGGACTTCTGTATAACAGTGTGACTATACTTGAGACACTCAGTGGCTCTGGGTCTCCAGTGTAGTGACCAGCAAAGGAGGGGAAGTAATAGAGGCAGGGCTGTGGTTATACTGCTGGTGGGATCTCAGATAATCTGCTCTCAGTGCCCATTTGGAATTTCCCATCAATCACAAACCCCTGTCTCCAGTGATTCCAGTAATCCCAGACTTTGAGAATCATGCTGCTCCTGTCTTTGGTTAGAAGTGTGATGAAATGTTGGGGACTGAGGGGTGGAAAAGGTAGAGCTATACTTCCTTTGCAGGAGGTAGAGCTGATCCAGAGCTGGCTCAGCTCATTCCTTCTGCCTCCATTCACATGACAGAAGAATTGCTGTTGCCATGGAGGGAGGCAAGGAAGATGATAGATATCTGAATGCACACCCTGTGAAACCCTCTTCAGATGTACAAGCCCTCACATGATTACAGTCAAGGGGGAAACAGGATCACACTCACTTGGCTTGCCCCCCATAGCACATCCTCAATGGCCTGGCCCTGCTGCTGTCCATGTGTTGGGACTGAAGTCAAGTCAACTATGTGCATGTAGATTCTCTGGATTATTTAGAACCTTGATTGCATGGGTTTCTAAATCACATGGGGAGGCTACACATGAACATCAGGCTCCCTACTTCAGACTTTCAGCTTTAGTGTGTGGACAAGCAATGTGGCCAGGCCACTAATGCTACAGGGATAAGGCTAGCGGGCATGCCACCAACATTATGGCCCATGCAATTGTAATCACTTTGGAAGAGAGCTTCCTTTCACTTCGGCTCAGCTGTGTGTATGGACGTGCTCCACACCGAAAGCACCATAAACCACCAGTTCCTGTTATCTCCCTGGTAGACAGAGACAGTCCTTACTATTCCAGGATTCCCTTTCACTTTCTCACCGAAAAATAAGGCAGTGGCATTCCCAGGATCATTCACCACAGTTTTCTTCCCAAGGGAGCACAGGCCTAAGCAGAAAATATGACTTGAGTAAGTGAGCAACAAGTTGGTGATCAGTGAAAAAGTTAAGCAGAAGGAAAACAGCCTAGAGACGGGTCCTGCACTGCTGATGACATCATCACCAGAACAAACAAGTGAAATTCTTCATCTCCGCGCTTTGGTTTATCTTTTTTCCTTCTCCTTGTATTCTTTCCCCCATACCTAGTTACTTGTAAAACTTGTTAAAATAAGCAGATTTGTGCAAGAACACCACATTTCTACAGTGGTTACTCTTCCAAATGAAAGGAACTTTATCAAAACCAGTATTCCTATTGCTCAAGGCAGAGGAAGTGAGTGTGGAGTTTTATCTCTTCTACACAAACTGTGAACTAGTATTCTGTCAGTGCAAAAAGTTGTGCTTTTGTGTTTATATTATGGTCCCAAATTAATCAACTGTGCAAACTGAGTTCTTATGGGTCCTGTTCTCTGTGATCATCTGTTAATTCTGTTCATTGACTTACTGACCCAAATATTTATTATCTCTCCACCCATGCTTTTCTACATACTGCCACCAAAGAAAGCCAATATTTAATGTATTCTACAGAACATCCACAAACTATTATCCACAAATCACTTGTTCTAGATCACCATCAAAGAGTGTTTACAGACGTTTAGTTATACTCTAGGCCAGGAATGACTAACTTATGCCCCCCAGGCCATATCCAGCCCCCAAAGGCTTTTTTTACTCCCCTCTTCACAATTTGGTGGTGGTAGCAATGACAGGCCCCTACCTCCCACCCCCACAATCTGATTCTCTGCTGCTTCCTCATTGTGGAGCACCTCTGCAGCATTCAGCAAGCACTTTCTGAAGGGCTTGAGAGAGATTGGGATACAGATCTCTCCCTCCCTGCTCACCAGATTCATCCATTGTATGCAATGTGCCTCTCTCTGTATGTACATGTGTGTTCCCTAGTATGTATGCAATATGCATGTGATTATCCTGCTGGGATAGCTCAGTTGGTAGAGCATGAGACTCTTAATCTCAGGGTTATGGATTTGAGCCCCATGTTGGGCAAAAGATTCCTGCATTGCAGGGGGTTGGACGAGATGAACTTCGTGGTCCCTTCCAACTCTACAATTCTATGATTCTGTTCGTGCTTGCTCTGCTGTTTATGTGATGTGTATGCAAAACGTGTGGGGGGAGTATGTATGGCATGCCAACTGTGAGGTGGCCACACTCAATTTTTGACCATCCATCAAGTTAGAAGGTAGCAATGTAGCCACTTTTCCTGTAGGTGGAGGTGAGGTAGGAAATCCAGGTGCTTGGGTACCTAGAAAATTGATGATAGTACAATAATGTTGTAATGCTTACTTGCTTTTTGCAGGACTCTTTCTTAAAACTTGAGGCTGAGTTTCTAAAATATTATGCTGGTTCCTGGGATTTTGAATGACTTTTGTAGCTCTCTTTTAAGGGTTGATTCCACACTACAGCCCTTGAGCACTGTTGAAGGGCTCCTTTTCTACAGCTGGTATTTGCTGGGCTCAATTGGAGCAGCAACACTACCAGGATTCCATCTGCCTCCACCACTGCTTCACCTGCTTGCTGCAGAGTGCCAATTTCTCTCCCCACTGTTAGGAATGTAGGAAGCTGCCTTATACCAAGGTAGATCAAAGGAACATCTAGCCATTATTGTCCATGCTGACTGGCATTGGTTTTACAGGGTTTGAAAACAAAGTCAAGGTGGCTCATGAATAAAATCCATACTTGCTGCAAGGCCATTTTGCACAGGGACTAGCTGCACTACTGCAGAAGTGCCACCTTGGCCCCACGACTGTGGGTGCCCAGTGTGTGGGAGCTATGCAGCATACATGGCCCTGGCACCAAAAATTGTGGGTGCCTGGCCCCTTCATGTGGAATTTTATGGGTGCTAAGGCACCCAGGGTCCCAGGGAGTTGGCACTTGTGTTCCCAGCCAGGAACTCCACAGCACAGCAAATCTCAACTAGGGTTGGTGTCACCATTGATCAGTGCTGACAGCAAGGCTTGCTTGCCAAGAAACAATTAGAACACACTTCAAGGTTCCCAATTTTTTCGTGGAAGCCATGTGTCTACCTGCCTCACACCTGATATCACAAATGATGTCAGACATGGGGGAGATGGCTGTGGTTTGGGGGAAATGGCCACATAGTCAAACTGGGGTCTGTATCAGGTCCAATTTGGCCCAGAGGCTGGAGGTTCCCCACCTCTGGTATAAATGTCTATGGTGAGAGGAATCTGCAACCTAGATGCATGCCACTTCACAGAAAGGGCTACTTGATGCAGACCTATTCATTGTTCACATGCTGTTCAACACTGGAGTGATGAATGCCAGAATATGGCTAAAGTATTCAAGTTTTCAATGGGCTCCCACTCTGTGCGCTAATGCAGTGCTGTGAAGGTTGGTGCCACATATATCTTTAGGTGCCAGGCAAAAACTTTCCTCCGTAACTTGTGGCCTTTTAGAAGTGAGTGGGCTATTTTATATGTACGGTATTTCTTTTTCCTCTTGGTTTTAATGTACAGGTATCTATGTGGGGTTTATTGTCTGGTTGTAAGTTGCTTTGGGGTACCCGTGACAAGATAAGCTGACTGATTAAATACATAAATAAGGTTAAAAGCAAGCTATCAAGGCTAGCCCAAGGTATTATGCTACCTGAGGCAAAGCACAAAATGGCACACACATGCATCCATGCCACTTTTAGAAGTAAATCTTACTTCAATATTAGTAATGGAGAATTGCACTGCCCCTGAGGGAGATCAGCAGGGTAATTATAAAGGTGGAGGGTGTCGTGATTTCAACCCAACAGGAGGGCAAGAGGCATGACACACACAGCTCTCTTCTCCCAACAGGAGAGTATGGTCAGGGAGCTCAGGAGGAAGAGCTGAGGGGCACCACTGCCTCCCAGCACACACCACCTGAGGCCGTTGCCTCACTCTGCCAAATAACAGGACAAGCCCTGTAAGATAGTGGGGGCAGAAATAAATGTTGAAATTTCAGAAAGAGCTTTTACAACTTGAATAAAGTCCTTCTTCGTTCTCAATACATCCATGCAGTAGCACAGCAGTTAAGAGAATAAGCTGAGAACTGCATGCCCTTGATTCACTTTAACACTACTGAATTCAACTGGTTGTAGAATAGTAATCCTTCATCCTCACGCCTAGATTATGAGACCTACTGTACAGGACCACTGCAGTGATTATTGGGAATGAACTGATGTTTAAAAAGTCAAGGAAAAAAATCCATATAAACACAAATGGGCCTCTTGCCATCTATCACTTCATTTAACTGTTATTACTGTGGATTTAGGTGCTTAATATTTGGAAGTTAGTAATAAAATGTGTCTGCTATTACAGAATAAGAATATCTATTTGGGACATCAAAACAAAATTTTGCATAATTTGTTTCACATTTAGAGAGACATATTAAATCTAAATCATAGAACGTGACTATGAATCAGGAATACAAGACCAAAGAAGAGCCTGGGGTCATAGCTCAAAGACACTGAACCCTGCACAGCTACTGGCTGTTAAGAGTTCTAGCTTCACCATACTGAAGCAAGATCTTCCTAGAAATTAGTTCAGCTATTTAAATACTATATAAAATGCTTGTGAACATTACAACTTCTCACTAAGTTTAGAAGCAGATGGAACTGTTGGTGGAAAGGAGTGCAGAGAAGGCTGGAGACAGCCCCAACACAATGATACTCAACTGAATGTGTGGATGCTATAGATTAGACAGAGTGGGACATGAATGGAGTGTGTGAATAGTGTGAAATGGTTTGTGAGTGAGAGAATGAATAGTGAATGGACCCAATAGATGTTGCAAACAAAAGCCTTATCTGCAAATGTCTATAGGTTCACATCTCTTCTGCCTTTCGCTTCAGACAATGTAGTCCAAACCATGCCAACTCAGAAGTCAGTCCTAATGATTTCAATGAGCCTACTCTAAGACAAGGGGTGTTACATATATTATCATACATGTGCACACGCAGTATATAATAGTTGTTCCTTAATACAAAACAAATGCCAGGATACAAATCAACAGGCAGTAAGACCAGTCTTTCAATAGTGCTAGCTGAATGCTAATTGTTAAATCATTGCCTGGGGGGACATACTAAGTTGCAACTAACGAGATGTAATCTAAACTTTCTATGAGGGATTTTTTTTTATTGTTTTCTAAATCTAGAATACAGTAAAATAAAAACACCACTTATCATATGATCCCATAAGGTCCAGTCCGCCCACAGCAATCTGTAGCAGTATTTCATCTTTCTCTTAGCAAAACTTTAGATGACTTAAGAAAACTGTAACAGAGTAATCAAATTATTTTATTTCTGGGTTATTATTGAAGGCTGGGGCCAGAGAATAGTGAGGATGAGAAGAGAGGGAGCTGAAAGTGATAGGACAGAGCCATGATTGTTCATAGTATGTAGACAATTTGTTTTATTCTGATCAGTCTGAGTATTCGTGTTTTTTATTGTGCTTCAAAAACCTGCAAACCTCTTTGACAACTGATGAAAGCAAAGCAAGAGATATGCTGTGTATACCAGGCGGATTTAGGGTTCTGCCACACTGGGTGCTGAGCGTAGTAGGTGCCACAGGGCATCAAAATTATGACATGGTGAATTGAGCCAAACAGAAGGTGAGAGGCGAGAGGGCACCAAATTTTGGCCTCACACAGGGCGCCGCGCCACTGAAATTCAAAAAACCAAATACTGAATAAAGAAATAACTATTCTGGTCAAATCATAGACATGCTGATCCCAAAGCGGAATCTTGAATGAAGCAAAATATTTAATCCCAAACATAACCCACCAGTGTAGGCATTTACATGGATTGAGGCAAGATCAAATGCTTGCTCATCAAATTTAGGAGTCAGGCAAAGCTAGCATAGTGCTCAGGACCACAATAGCTCAAGAACTGTCTCTCACCATATAAACCAACCTGGACTCCGTGATCATCATATGAGGCCCTTCTTCCTCCGCGAGAGGTCTGGAGGGTGGCCACACAAGAACAGGCCTTTTCTGCAGTGGCTCCCTGTTTGTGAAATGCTCTCCCAAGGGGGGCTTGTCTGGCACCTTCATAATACATCTTTAGAAACCATGCAGAAATGTTTCTCTTCAACCAGGCCTTTGGCTGACTAATATTCTACGGCCTTTTAAATGTGTTTGTGGGAGGCGGGGTTATTGCTTTGTTTATTTTGTGCTTCTATCCTGTATTTTTTTTAATCTTCTGAACTGCCCTGAGTGCTTCAGATGAAGGGCAGAATATAAAATTAATTAATTAATTAATTAATTGTCTGGTCTGGATGTAATGGTAATCTAGGGTTCAGGAACATGCGGCCCTCCAAACATTGTTGGACTCCAACTCCCATGAGCCTCAGTCAGCATGGGCAATAGGGATGATTGGAGTTGGAGTCCAATAACATCTGGAGGGCCACAGGCTCTCTGCCCCCTATATTAAATCAGAGTTAATATGCATAGACTTGATCCCCTCTCTTCCTCTGGTGCTCTGTGCTGGTGCTGCTGGGACAGTGAGAAGGAAATCAGAAGCAGCCACCTCCATTTTCAACCAACCAGTTTGTCATTTTGTCTGAACCAGGAAGTGTGGGTATTTTTCATCATCAGCCACTGTTTGATGTATGTTTGTTTCGACAAGCCCTAATTATAACTAACCATAGTTTGTCTGAATCTGGATGAAGCAACAAACTGCAGTTAGTTGAAAACAGCATTGGATGTGGCATCAAGATGGCAGCTCCCTGCACTGCAGATTGTATGCCTGGGAAATGTGAGAAGTCTTATCTGCCCACCCCCACCCAACACATAGAGATTAGTGTCATATTGGGCAACAATCTGCAGTTTAGACTGTGCCCCTTGCAATGATAGTGCTGACATCTCAGATCTACTCTTTGGACTACCAGGCAACAGCACAAGGAATGACACAAATGACTTTTCTCAAATTATCCTTCTGGAATTGTTCATACAGGCACACATAAGTAATCCTTCCCTCCTCCTTCATCTGCACCAGCTTGATTAGGGACTGTGTGGAACAACTCCAATAATATATTCGCTGCAGAGACTGGAGGAAAGAACAGATTTCCCATTTTTGGGTTATTTCTCCCCTAGAAACTAAAGACTTCTTGTCTTGTATCTTGCCCAGGTCTTCCAGTTATATTCCCACAGAAATGGGAGTGGGACCAGATCAAAAACCGAGCGGGGGCATATTAATTAAGGCTGTGAAGGAGTTGTCACAAGCCAAGTGGAAATGGAAAGAGGAGCACATTTAGCTCAGTAACAAAAGTTCTATAACCCTGATTTTAATTAGCACTTGACACTGTACTTTCCTCCTTCAATAAATACACAATCTGCATACATTCTAACAGAAACAAGATTCAAATAAAAATTATGAGGGCCATCCAAAATTCTGTAAATTAAGGGTGGAGGAAATAAAGTAAGAGATATTTGGACTTTAGTGCTGCTTTGGAACCAGACGTTTATGCTTGTCTAATATGTTTACTGCAGCTTTTTATACTGTGATGCTAGTCTTATATAAGAACTGAATCTTATAGTCAAAAACACCACAAAACCTCTGTGCTGGCTAAAATATGTGGTATGTGCATGTGTGTGCAAACTCACACACACTTCATATTTAACTTCAGGGGTGGGTTTTTTTTGAGAAAACTGCCTGCGTGCCTACCATTGGTTTAGCAAGTGGCAGACAATTCTCTCTCCACCCTCAGTCAATAAGCCATATGCTGTAACAACAATAACAACAAAACCCCAAAGGGCTTTCAACACTATAGTACAGATAATTTGTTGGGCCTCCAATTTCTATATGATTTCTCTTGCAAAAAATTGCCTGTCTCCGACATCTCACCTGTTTTGCCTAAAACATTAAAATAAAAATGTAGGAAAATATCTCACACACCCTGAGCTTAGCATACACCTTGGGGGAGATGCACAACAGGATGAATCAAAGGGCTTATTGCTGGCAGCTTAGAAGGGGGCCATATGCTGTGCCTGGCTGCTCTAGTAGTTTCCCTAGGCCGGCCTGACCCACTGCAAGCCTCCCAGGGGCCTTGGCAAAACAAAAGAACGAACGATGGCAAAAATGAGATGTGGAATACTCTCCTATATGAAGTGTGCAGCGGCGTGAACGAGAACGAAAGCAAGCCTTAGCGGCGCTTGGGGGCACAAATTGACACAAACCTGGCCACGAGGAATTAGGGCCGGCTTGCGATCCTGTGCAGCACAATGACTCGGGAGGAAGTCGCGTTGGCCGGAGTTACTACAGGAAAGAAAGAAAGAAAAACACTCTGCACAGGATCGGGCTGTAGGGAGTTGGCATACCGCAGGGCGGGGGGTGGGGTGGAAGCTGCCCGTGCCACCGGGTGACGCCACTGTGTGCCTTTGCCCCCTTCGCACCCAAAATGCCACCTCGAGGCCCTTCATTCGATGCGACTGCCCCTTCTTCCTGCCCGACGCTCCCTTTCCCCTCCAAGCCAAGCTGCAGCTCTGGCATCCGCAGGGTCCGTGGCGTTGCCAGGCTCCTCTCGCCCAACTGTAGCATCTTTCCCGGCGCGATGAACAGAAGCACCCTGAGCGGAGAGGGAGGGAGGGAGGGAGGGAGGAAGGGCCGAGAACAGACGCTCCTCACCCCCTCCCTCCGCCACCCCCTCCTCTCCCGCCGCGCGTGCGTGTGGCGCGGCAGCGGGTCTGCGAGGAGGAGTCCCCAGCCGCGTGCAGGGCAGGCGAAGGCGGCAGCAACAGCAGCAGCGAGGCTCTGGGGCCGGGACGGCGCGAGGAGGATGGCGGAGGACAGGCGCTGCCTGCCTCCCTCCCCCTGACTTCGCAGCCGTGGCCTGGCACCTGACTCGGGGCCTTGGGAGAAGGGGCGGGATGGGAAGGATCGGGGTGGGGGGGCAAGGGGGGGCAGCTTTCTTCCCCTCGCCTTCGTTCTCTCCCTCTCCCTTCCCGTTCCTATAGTAACCCTGAAATACCTCCAGGACACACATAGCTGGGCTCCGAGGCTCCTCTCCGGATTGGCGGAGGCGAGAGGGGGGGAGGGGGAGGAGAGCCGAAGCCAGGCGAGCAGGAAGGAGCGCGCGCGGCGCTGGGGCAGGCCCGGCAGCAGAAGGCAGAGCGCGCCCCTCCCCCTCCGCCCGCCGAGTTCCCATGGCGACTGGGTCGGCGAGCTGCAGGAGCCAGCTGAGCGGCACCTGGACGGGCAGCGAGCGAGCCGGAGCCGAGCCGCCACAGGCGCTGGCTGACAGGAAAAACGCCCACGTGCCGACCCCAAACACCACATAGAACAGGCCAGCACGCGGTCGCCCCCTCCTCAATTTTCCCTTCTCTCTCGTGCTCCCCGCCCCGAGAACTGGTGATGTTGACACATCCCAAACCAGAGAATGGCTTTGAAACGAGATTGACTCAACCAAGGATTGTGGCACAAACAGAGCACAAGCCGACAGAATCAGCGCTGCGTCACAATGCATGCTTTGGCAGCACGGAACGCTCTGACAATGGTGGGGGGGGGGGAGGTGGGAGCATGAATCATAGAACTGTAGAGTTGGAAAGGACCACGATCGTCATCTAGTCCAACCCCCTGCAATGCAGGAATCTTTTGCCCAACGTGGAGCTCGAACCCACGACCCTGAGATCAACTGCCTCATGCCCTACCGACTGAGCCATCCCACGTGTTACTTGTCCCATGTGCTGGTTGTACGCGTGTGTGATTCACACACATCTGTATGCCCAGCAAAACACAAACACCAATACAATCACATCATGGGATAACTTGCTTGTGGAGTCCTGCATGGAAAAGCAGGTATGGACATGGACATTTGGTGCTCAGAGGCAATGATGTGCCAGAGTACCAGATGCTGGGAGCAAACAGCAGGAATTGCATGTCATCTTCATGTACCGCTTGTGAACTTCTAGGCATCTGGCAGGTTGCTGTTGGAAACGGAATGCTGAAGGAAACTGTTTCACATGTTATCCTCATAAACAGAGATTGACACACTGCTGGTTCCTCCACCCTTAATGATGTGCAACCCAACCCCCAACATGGACATATGGAGAGTATCTGAGCAGGGAATCTGACACATGTAGAATTCTGTGTGCTTGGCTTCCATGCACTCTGGAACCATGTGGCATTAGAGTTCCAGATTGTGTAGAAGCTTACATGCTTTGACATTTGTAGAAGCTCTATGTCAGGAGTGAAGAACCGGCAGGCCTCCAGATGTTGGACTACAACTCATCAATCCTGATCATTGGTCATGTTTGCTGGAGCCACTGGGCATAGGAGTTTGACAGCATTTAAAAGGTTTCAGGTTCCCCGGTTCCCCACAACTGTTCTCCATGCATTTGCTTCCTTCAGGTGCTCATGCTCAATTTGTGAACCTTAGGGTTTAGGAGCATGTGGATAATGTGGGAAGGAGTTAGGGTTGGGGGGTCTGTGGTCTAATTCAGCAAAGTGCAATATGTGAAATGGCTCTTATACTAACAGAAAATGATGCTGGTACAGACTATGATGGGCATACACATATCTATTGATGTAGAGATACAAAATACATGTGTCAGGGGGAAATCCCCTCAATATGCTCTCATATGCATTGCCCTGACATGTCACCACCCAGAAAGACACTGGAACACAAACACAGAGAGAAAACATGCCCACTTTTTCATTGGAGTCCACACTATCTTACTAATGTGATACAAACAAACATGACTTGGTACTACGTCTCTCATTCTTTTGCACACTGAGAATTCTAACAGCAACCCTTCCTCACAGCTGTCGGTTAAGGCCCCAGGCTACTGTTAAACTGACTTTCTCCAGACCAGACACACACATCCAATACATTACCAATGTACGTCACAATACAAAATGTAATAACACATTACATGATACTTATTAAAACTTAATTCAAATAAACAGGATTTCTTCACGGACCCAAACTAATGCCTTCAAACTACGAGAAACAGAATTTCAAGTAAATGTTGGGAAGAGCATCCTGATTTTGAGCTATTTGATAATGGAACAGGTTGCCCTGAAAAGTAGTGGACTCTTCTTCTTCATAGGAGGTTCCTAAGCAGAGGCTGGATGGGCTACTGATTAGCAGTAAAGTTCTTGCATCAGCAATGGATTGGACCAGATGGTCTTTGAGGTCCCTTATAACACTACGATTCTCTAAACACAGAAGAGACTTGATACTATCCACACCAAAGTTTTCTCATTTAGTGTTGTTAATTTTTCTTATGTAGATGTACATACATAGGAAAATGCAGATCTACTGTATATGTTGGTACTGCTGATACATAGGCAAACACACAGAATACTGAACAAAGTGGAATATCTTCTCAGTCAAAGTTAAATAGAACTAATAAAAAAAGAGTTTGGGTCACTTCTGTTGCACTGGAAGTGTTTAGTTTGTGACATAAAAAGTGCTAGGGCTAGTTTGCTTTTAATTTGTACCCTGTGACCTGGAAGACCACACCAAACTAAGATGAGTGGGGGCAGTTGTGGTTAATCAATAGTAAGGAAATAGCATTTTGCACCTGCACAAACTACTATTCCTTATTAGATCATCTGCTGAAAACAGCTCCAGGAGTCAATCTTAACATAGCATGACTCAAATTCAGTTTATAGTCTGAGCGTAACCTCAGACACTATCCACAAAACTGCCAATTTATTTATTTTTACTGGGAGTAGCTGTAAAGTGCAAGGTTATTATGAAGGCAAGTGCCAAATCTCTCTCTTCATTCAGAATCTATCATGCTCTGACAGAAGAGCTGAACTATAGAAGCGTATATCAGAAAAAGATGGCCCGAAGTACCCTGGCAGCATCTACTTCAATAATTATTAGTCATCTTAGTATGGCAACTATTCTATACATGCCTATACAAAAGTAAGTTCCATTGAGTTTAGTGGGGCTCACTCCCAGGTTAAGTGGGTATAGGATTGCACCCTAAGCCTTTATTATTAATCCCATCTGGTATGTCAGAATCTCAGTTTCATACTACTTTTACTGCTATTCTCACTACCACCGATTTAATACTTTCACTCTAAAGTGCTATTTGTATAAGCCTAATCACTTCAGTTGGAATTGCACTAAAGGATAAGGCTTCCCACCAGCAATGGTTCTGATAGAGGTTGTTCCTATCTCTCAGATTTCAGTGTCCATCCCATAATTTCATCAATTACATACCTAATAGCTAGAGGAACAAGATTTGTTCCCATAGTTCTTAGAAGTTTCAACAATATGTGCTTTTAAAGTTTGACTGGAAACAGGTGAGACTGACATTACTATGACTATTCTGATATCACTGGTCTGCTTGTTAACCTATACCTATTGAGATTCCAACCATATTTTCATTTATTTGTTTGTTTATATATAAAAAATCAATTTTATAACACATTTCAGCCCCCAAAAGAGTTTCCAAGTTGATTTACAGTTTTAAAATAAGAGTATTAAAGCATGAGATTCTTTATCCCAGGATTGTGGGTTCGTAACCCGCATTGGACAAAAGATTCCTTCAATGCAGGGGGTTGAATTAGATGACCCTTGAGGTCCCTTCCACCTCTACAGTTCTATGATTCTTTTCTATGTCAGTAACCCCCTCCCCAAAAGGCCCACATGTAGGTATGTGTTAAAACAGGGGGATGACAACGACTTCTGACTTGTGGGTCCCAGTTTGACCCATGGAACTGTTTTCTACAAGCCCCCACACACCCCACACCTGATATCCTAAATGATGTCACCTGCAGAACAGGTAAAGAGGCGGCTACAAAGGAACAGCTGGAAGCATGAAACGTACTTCTGATTGTCCCTTGGCAAACAGGGCTTGTATTCGGAACATTTTAAATTTGGCACCAAATGCAAGCCCCACTGGGATTGGTTTTACTCTGGAGCACCCAATCAGAGCTCCTGAGAGTAGCTGATCCCTCCTGAAAGCAGAACATGAAGACAGTGCCAGTCAGCTGGGACCACAGAGGGTAGTCCCTACTATTTCCTCCCTGTATGTGGGAGGAGACTAGCAGCACCTTCTATTCACTGAGAGGCCACTGTAGAAGTGGAACTGGGGGCTCTGATGAGGCGGCAGATCCAGCTCCAAGGAACACACTGCAGTCATTGCTGCAACTGCAGTAGCAGCAGCAGCAGCAGCAGCAGCAGCAAGCAATGCATTCCTTGGAGGCTGGATCTGCTGCCCCTGGATCTTGCCACCTGAGGCAGTTTCCCCACGTTGCTTCATGGGTGGGCTGCCCTGTCCTTCAGGTAACCAGGTCCTAAGCCACATAAAACTTTAAAGATAAGTATAAGGACTATGAATTGTTCTTAGGAATTGTTTGGAAGCCAGTGCAGCTCCTTAAGCACATGCAAGCTGTGTCCCCTATGTTACGTCCCAGTTAGTATCCCAGCAAAAGGAGAGAGACAGCAAAAATCCATCTGAAAGTCAAACTAGGCATTCCAATATTGAAAGAACCAATAATTGCATGAATTAGGTGTCCCCCCCCAAAGGTAAATTGCAGGTGTGAGAGTTTGGGGGAAGCCATCCCAGGATTCTGGAAGAGCTGGCAGCTTTAATCCTTTGCCCTCCTGCTATAATCCCAGTCTGGATTTGGTCCTCTAAATCAATTTACATTGAAAGGAATGCTTCCACGGGTACAACTGGAGCTTTTCATCCAATGCAAGGAGCAGATGCAGGAGGCCCGCTCTGGTTTAGGACCACAGCAAAAGGAGGAAAGGCTAAAAAACAGAAAACAAAACTCAGCCTCCATCAGGGTCCCTAAGAAAGTATTTGCCCATCTTCCCTCCACATAAGCATTGCAGCTTTCTCATGCTGATGACAAGGACTTGGGGGCCTGCCAGGTGACAGCAATCAATGAAGGCAGGAGTGTGAAAATCCAGTTCAATAGCTGTAGAGTGATAAACAGTATCTGGAAGAACAGACCATTGATGTCATAATCACATCAGCCAACAGGGAGATGTTTTCAATATGCTTAGCCAAAAAGAACAAATCCCGCTATGAGTAATCGAGGGGCCAAGCTAGGGAAGTAGATTCACCTGAAAAATTTTCTTTTAAAGGTACTTCTGGATGTAGTCCGTTAAGAGCCTTCAATTCTGGCACTTTATATCCCAGATCCTGTCCACTGGGAGAATAATAGGATCTGTTGGGAGATAAGAGTCCTGGGTTTGAAATCTTGATGCTTCATTGATAGAATGCCAGCTTATACCTAGCCAAAAAAGATGGCAAAAGAGGACACAGATTTCTGTAATGTTTGCATATATTTTCATGGTTTAAATAGAATTACATTGTATTTCACCATTGTAGGGAAGACTATGACCTATGTGCCTGCTCAGTCTGCTGTCCAGGTGTTAACTGTTGATGGACAACTTCAAGGCCCCTGCTCTGCTTATAGTTCTTTATCTTTAAACTAGAGTTGGACCAGACACCCCTTCAAATGGACGACTCCTTCAGGCAGAGAACTGTCATCTATAAAGTAAACCACATGGCCACACTAGCAGAGGCAGTTTTAGGGTAGTGCAACTGGTTTGGCCACACTGGGTGCTGTGGTGCATGGGGAGCCACAACAATGCTGTAGAACAGAGTGTAAGAGGCGGGGGTGCCAAATTTTAGCAGTGTACTGACATTTGAGAGCCCCCAATCTGCCACTGACACTAGGCAAACACAG